CCAAGTGGAGCTGAGTGACCGTGCTCTCATTGCAGGGCCCGTTGCTGCTGCCATCACCACCGGCAGCTCCTGCGTGAGCTGAGCCAGGCCCTGGCCAACACCCCCATGGGAGCATTCTGCAAGCATGGCCACAAGGGAACCTAGTGCAAGGCCACCATGGAAAAACTCATGTTCCCCATATCCACAGGCATCCAGCAGGAATTTCAGCCTCCCACAGAAGCCCTGCAGTCCTACACCAACCCTCAGACCTGTGGCCAGGGTAAATTTGACACGGCCACACAGGCAGCCACAGTGATGTTTAATTTGAAAAAGACTCTCCAGATGAACAAGGCTACTTGCTGGTTAAACACGAGCCAGCAGTGTGCTCAGGTGGCCAAGAATGCCAATGACATCCTGGTTTGTATCAGAAATAGCATGGCCAGCAGGACTAGGGAAGTGATCATCCCCCTGTACTCAACTCTTGTAAGGCTGCACCTCAAGTACTGTACTCAGCTTTGGGCCCCTCGCTACAAGAAGGAACCCAAGTTGGTGGAATGTGTTCAGAGAAGAGCAATGTAGCTGGTGAAAGCAACCGGAAAACAAGACATATGAGGAGCCGCTGAGGGAGCTGGGGTTGTGTAGTGTGGAGAATCCTGAGGGCAGACCACATCACTCTCTGCAACTACCTGTAAGGAGGTTGGAGTAAGGTTGGTGCTGGACTCTTTTCTCAGGTGAGAAGTAATAGGATATGAGGAAACAGTCTCAAGTTGTGTCAAGGTGGGTTTAGATTAGATGTCAGGAAGAATTTCTTCACAGAGAGGTGTGGTTAGGGATTGGGAGGTGCCCAGGGAAGTGGTGGAGTTGCCTTCCCTGGAGGTATTTAATAGATGTGTGGATGTGGCTTCACGGTGGAAAGGGTACTGTTAGGTCACGGTTGGACTTGATGATTTTACAGGTCTTTTCCAACCTAAATGACTAGATGTTACTCTGCTGGGACAGGCCAAGGTACACATGCAATTGGATATTATCAACAAGCATATGATCCATGGACACAGAAGCAGCTGGAGTCACAGAGCAGTCAACAAAACCACAGGTAAATTCACTTCCTTGGCAGGTTTAAGCAGGAGGTAAAATGTCTGCTGTCCATAGTAGAAGGGGGTGAACACCACTTTGGTCAAATTTTCCCCCCCCAGGTACAAAATTTTCCCCCAGGTACCACATGGCAGTATTACAACTTAACGTGCTCACTTTTGCTCACCTCCTTCACTCCTGCAAAGCCATTATTTTCACAATGTGGCATCATTTCTGGTATCAAGCTATGTTATGAAGAAAGTTTAAATGATAATTTTTACAAATGACATTTCTATAATCTGAAGACTTCAGAATGTGTGAACAACTTTCAGCATTTCCCTTCTAAAATTTTATGATCTACAAAGAGTTGTAAAAACAGTGAATGTTTATTCTGAAACAGATTCTCAAGCTAGACATGAAAATTGCAGCTGGAAATGCAACTTTTTTTTTTTTACTGAGCAGAAAAATAGGAAAGCAAGACAACACATGCAGGCAAAAGCATGATATTGTGCTATCCAGTGGGTTTTCAGTACATGTAAAAAAAAACATAATTATACCGTAAGAAACAAAGAAATTAAAATTAAAAAACCCTTTTTGTTGAACCAAATAGTATCCTATTTTTGTGTTTAATTGAATGTTCTCCAAGCAAGACATCTGAATTCAATTAACAGAAGTTTTGTTTGGGGGTTTGCATTTTTGTTTTGTTTTTTAAAATACTAAAAAATTAACTATGTGATCTCATTTTTGTTGAATGACAGGATCATGGGACAGAAAAAGCACAGTCCAAGTTTTTCAAAAAAAATTGTATGCAAGAAACATGGAATGTGATCACACTGCAGTAGTGCAGGGATATGTGCCATAGTCATGCTGTTATACTAATTCATACATTCTGAATTTCGGAAGTTGTTGTTTTTCCTCAAAGTCTTGAGCATATAGATGATGTGCTAATTTGTTCCCAGGTGCCTCTAAGTAATGACTTTTCTTCAGAAAAGGATAGATTACAGTTCATTTTGTTCCTGGTAAAATAAAGGCCACTTGGATAAATCAGGAAACTTGAAAAACGCATATAATTAAGAGTTATGTTTTGCCTAGTATTTTCAAATATCATTTCACAGTTGATATGCAGAGATCGATACACAGAAAATTCTGATACAACAACAGCGTAGTAGTCACTAGCTTCTTTCTGCTATCATTTGTGACTATTTGGGTTTCTCTAGAAGCACAGCACTGGCGTCAACTGTTCAATTTTAACTTGGAGAGTGTCTCATATGCAACCTACAGGCTGGAAATGACCTGCAGGAATGAAGGTGTGAATGACCATCCAGACTTCCTTTTCAAAACCTGCCATGAGCACAGAGCATCACTGCTCACCCAGGAAGCCTGGGACAGAGTACCGCTGTTACAAGACATCGAGGAGCAGAGCTGTCCACCAGGGCTGCAAGAACATGCACTGGAAGGTGAAAAATCCTGAATATTCACAAAAACCCACAGCAGTATTGCACACAGCACATGGGAGGAAGATGGAACTCTTGCTAAAATACATTAAAATGGAGACATGCTGCTATTGCCAGTGAGGGGAGTGAGGGGACAGCAGTAGCTTGGGGGGATTCTAGATGCTGATCCAGTCAAGCCAGTCAATACAGATAAAATACCTATTTAAGGTATTTTCAGACACTGACTAGTTCATTAACAGATCACAATGGACTCTTCCCCAAGTCTCTTTGTGGGGGGCTACTCTGGCTGATAGGTGTTAGCACACTGCATCCTCTTCCACATATAGAGGTGTGTCAGTCCGTTTTGCATTTCACAGGAGCCATGACTATTATTTTCTTATAAAAGCCACCTGATTCTCCATTCTAATGTCTAACCAAAATTATTGAAATATTTGTTTGTATCTGATCCACCTTTCTTTCCAGAAATATTTGTTCAAAAACAAGAGACAAGACAGAAGTTCAGAATTCAGCAAGCACCCAGGGTAAGAGCAACAAGCCTTGCAGCACTGTCCACGTGAATACTTTCCTTTGCACAGCTTGAACCCATTAGCTTCTTTTGCTGTCTCTACACCATCCAATAAAAGTAACTGAATCCAGCCCCATTTGCAACATCCCATTATTTAAATTTAAGCATTTATGCCTCTCTTTCCTCCAGATTTATAGAGAGAACTGTCTGTAGATTAATAAAGCTAGAGATCTAATAGGCTGACCAGCATATGGGAATAAAAGGCTGTGTTATTAAAGGGGTGGGGATGTGCATCTTGTGACCTATGAATCCTCTATGAAGTTGTAAATACAGCACCAAGTCCACAATGAAGTACTCAAACCACACGACAATATAATAGTGCCTATCAGCCACTGTAAGCCAGATATTAATTTTAAGGTATTCATTTTTCTCCAAAATTGCAAATGTTGGTTTCAGAATAAATACATTTAAAACTTGAGAAACTACTTCATGCTTTCTGTAAGCTCAGCACGCACACTCCCATCAGAGTGTCAAGCCCTGTTCTACAGAACATAAATAACTTCCATGTAAAATAGGGAAGAGACATGACAGCATTTGTTTTGAGGTGCCTCTGCGAGAGGCAACTGACATCTCGAAGTTTATAAAATCGTTTCCATGCCTCAGGTCACACAGTTTCAAATGACAAAAATACTTCTTTCCAAATTGTTACCTACCACATCTAACTAAACAGCATGCATACAAGAATGAGTATGTTTGTTTTTCTAAAACCATTCCATATATAAAATTAGCTTGCTTAGTGACAAGCTGATGGTAAGCCCAAGCAAAAAGCACTTCTCTGGTTTATCTTGGAACAGATTACCAGCTTACAGCTCACACAGGTAATGCTGTGCGTGTTACTCCTAACATGTGAAAGCCTAGGACCAACTGTAACACAGGAAGAGCAGCTGGGATTATTCTCCCCTATTACAGAGGGCTAATCTCCTACTTTTCCTGCAATTTTACACGAAGGAAAGAAAGAACATTAATTATGTACAGTCCTGTTGTTCAAAACGTTAAGAAGAGTGGTGCAAAAGTCTCAGCTATCATTAGGAGAGAAGACTGACTGCCATCCATATGAATGGAGCCCAAGCACTGCAAGACCAATAGAGAAACATGGTACTAATATTGATGTTGATATTTGGTACTCGTTTAGAATTGTTTGGAAAGATTAAGTGTTTCAGGGAAGTATATGATATTAGCTGGACATCTGCTCTTAAGCTACAGGAATTCATACACTTTGCTTGTTGTTTTCCAACTTCACCTTCCCAGGAGGTCAAACTCCAAATTCAATCCAACGCTGAACCTCTCGCTGTGTTCTACGAAAAGCCCAACACAGAGCTCCAAGAAAAGCACGAGCATCAAAGCCTTCCCCTGGCACATCTGAAGATTTCCCAGGAGCAGCTATGATTGTTTAACTGGTCCTTGGCTCCGCTTCTCGGATAGGCCTGCTGCACTCCTGCTGTCAGCCGCGAGACCTGGCTCGCTGGTGGAGCCCGAAGGCAGCCTTTGCCTGCTGGCTGCGCTCTGCAGCGCCTCTGCCAGCCTCCCTGGCTCTCACTGCCTCCTCCCCAGCCTTCTTCCTCTCTCTGCTGATATCTGCAAAATGCAACTGGCTCTACCAGACACTGTCTCCGTGCACCATCTTCTTTGCCTGTGCCCAGGCACCCTTCCGAATCATATTGTCTGCAAACTTTCTTCCTCCCTTGCTGTCTAAAGGGAGGATGATCTTAGGGGGGAACGTGTGGGGGAAAAAACAACACAGCTGGGAAACCATTCTTGTTGCATAAATTTACTTAGCGAAATGAAAACTCACACATCGTGTTTGGACAGTTCATGGGGAATTCATTTTCAGCAAAACTTTGTAGGTCTGCTGGCGACTGAAAGTTTGCTAGAGCCCAGGAGTGCTCCTCTCTCCTTGGCTTGCACACAAGCTACTTGTTCTAGGCTGTGTCACGAGTAGGCTATTATCCACAGTTGTTTAGTAATACCAAGCCTCACAGCTCCTGTATTTTGTAAAGGGACAAATATCCAGCTCAAGCAGAAACTGTTTAACCCTTGGGCAAAGTATGTAAAATGAGCACACAGCAGAAAATGCCGCATAAAGTTCAGATTCCTTCCTGAAAGCAAAAAGAATTTCCCTTGGCTCCCCTTCCAGATGCCAGAAGAAATTATTCTCGTATCATCATCCTGTACAACAGGTTAGAGAAGTTTACCCCTCAATTACTGCCCAGCTCTCCCCTGCAGTGGAGTATTTACGGAGTATTTATTTGCCCACCTTCGGTGAGAGTTGGCGCTTTTGAAGGCAGAACCAAAGAATCTGATACTGCTCAAAACAGCTCAAGTCCATTTTGACAAAGACTGTTGCAGCCAGTTTTATTTCAGAACTAAAGTGCCATGATTATTATTTTTTATTATTTTTATTAAAAAAGACTTGTTTTTGAAGTGTTGAGTACTTCTGGCATTCACCAAAGAAATCAGCAAAAATATTTCCACTTTTTTTTCCAGAAAAGACATATCTGAGCCTTTGCCACAAGAAATGTTTTTGTCCTACATTTTTGATAACTTCCCAGAACATTTTCTCCTCCCTTCATTATATTTTTTGTTTTGTATTTTGTTGTGTGTTTTTTGTTTTTTTTTTTTTTTTTCCCCTCCCTTTTTCTTCATGACTTCTACACAAACAGTACAAGAAAGCCAGAATGTTTCTCAAAATGTAATTTTCAAAAAACTTGCTACTGGTACTGACTTTGTTGCAGCCAGATACTCTGTGACAGGTTTTTCTCTGTACATCTCTTAGGGCTGACCCCAGATTTCTTCACATAATGAGATTATCATTGCTACCTTCAATACAAATTTATCTGATTTCAGCTTCCAGCTATTGTTTTCTGTTATAAGTTTCTCATGTACTATAATTTTCTTAGTATTTTTGGCCAGCAAACGTACTTGACCGCTGTAATCAAGTTATATCCCATTCTTCTTTATGCTAAACCAATACTTACTGAGTTCTAAGCTTCATTTTGCAACATTTTTTTTCCATCCCTCAAATCAATTTAGCAGCTTTTTTTTTTTTTTCCTGTCCCCTGGTACTATATTTTTCCTTTTAAAAAATTTGGCTGTTAAAAACTACACTATGTTCAGAGATAAATGTCTTCTAATTGGTTTTGTTTACTTGCATTAGAGCAAATTATTCCTCCTTACCACGGCACCAGCCTGAAGTGCATGCCAAAATATTGGCAGAAAGAACATTATATATAAAGCAAGCTTAACCTTGAATACTGACCTACACAATTGAGCAATTTTATGTATATAAATATTTGCAAGGATTCTAATTCTATATAGCAAACCTTATACTACCTACTACTGCTTAGGCTAAAATTAAAAATATCTACATATATAAAAATATCTGTGTTTCTTTGCAAGACTTAGAGGATTTTTCAGTTTTTAACAAGCCAAAGCAAGTTTTACTCCTTCAGTTCCTACACTTGATACCAGCAATGCTAATGGATAAGAAAAAACAAGCTGGACAATGCCGCACACTAAAAAGAGTTTACAGGTATTACTCGTCCAGTTCATTTTCAGAAGTAGTCTTTAAAAAATTTGTCTTTAACCTATGAATTAGGACTGATTTCTGGTTGGTCATAGACACAACATTTAGCATCAAATATTTTAGTGAAAAATACAGCACGTACCAACTGATTCTAAATAGGCCCCAGCATTGTATCTCTGGCAAATTAGTAAATGATAATTTAAAGCTGTTATTTCGTCAATTGCCATTGAACTAGACCTTAAGTTAGTCACTGTTATTCAATATTTCTGAAGTGAAACAGCATGTCTACGTTAAAAAAAAAAAGTCTATAGCAACAGAAGTCAAAGCGTAACTGCCATTAAAATCTGTTATAATTTTTGGTCATCATACAGACATCATGTTTTGTAGGAAAATACCACTGGCATTCCTGTTGTAGATAGACAGGAAATATCTTTTTCCTCCATATAAAAGAAATATTTTCCTGCAGAATCTCAAGGTCTTTGAAAAATCTTCAATTCTTAGATTTCTAGAGGAAATGTTTCCCTGGACACAGTCAAAAAGGCTACAATGTTTTAAACCCCAAATATCTTTGTTATTTATTTATTTTTTTGAGTATCCTGTGGATTTTTTTTTCTCCCTTTTTCCCATAAGTAGAAGCAGTTTCTTAAGCTGTTATGATGACACACAGATGTACACAGACATGCATCAGCACTTCTTTGCCTTCATCTTGGCTTAGGTGTTAAAATAAGGCAAAAACTACACCCAGCATCTGCCCTTTCAACACAAACAACAAAGACAATGCCCAGAGAATTTTAAGGAGATTCTTAGCTCTTTCCATTCCCCCTTTGTATTTTGATTATCACAGATTTTATACTTTGGATTATTCTTAAATACAAATCAAGCAAATCTGAACTAACAATTTAGAATCTAGATCTCTCCAAATGTTAACATACACCTCTGCAAGCACCAATTCCTTTCTCACTGATCTGCTGGCACAGCTTTAAATCATGACGTTCTGCTAGTACCAGAAACAAGAAAAACACTTTTTTTTTCCAAAGGTCTCCAGTAGTTCTTTTTCACATTCCAATTCCATTAGAAGTCCTTTCTTCAAAATAGCATTTCTTTGCTGCATCTCTTGAGTCACGCTCATGTTGACAAGTTCCTCTCATAATAAATGATGAACATCATTAGAGCTGGCCATAAAGCTGGTGGAAAGCAAGAAAACACTTAAATGCATTCATTTCTAGATTTCACCAAAATATGCACTGATGACAACATGAAAGCATGCAACAGTGGACACCTCTGTTCCGCACAGAAGGTGGTGTATGACAGCAAAGCCACACCTGGAAACAAGTGGTGTAGCACACCGATGGTGGGCTGGCATGTGGACTACGACGTTATCCAGAGCCACAGTGCACCATGGAGGGCTGTGGTACCCATGCCACCACGCTGCTCAGGGACACATGTGTGCTGCCCTGGTCCCATACCTGGGGAATATCTGCCCTCACCAGCATGCTTCTCACTGGCGTAGGCATCTCCGGGCTCTTTGTGGTGTCACAGCACTGCAGATGAGGCCTTGTGTATGAACAGAGTGGCACGGGCCTGGACAGAAGGAAACAGGAGGTGGACACAAGGCCTCGCAGCAAGGGCAGCTGTGGGCATGATGCTCACTCTGTCCATTGCCCAGGTTGGCATTCACCTCCATTGCAAGGTCTTATTTACAGCTGCTTAGAAACTAAAAGGGCTTTGGCCATTTTATCCCATATTTACCAGATGAAACGTGTCTTATGCTGTAGGTGTTCTGGAAGTAATATCTGACATACGCAAAATGGAAGAAATTGAAGTCTTCTCTTATCAAATACACAAGCAAGAGCGACTAAAGACTATCTGAGAAAGTGCTTATTTACCACTGGCAATTTTTCAAGGTGAGGTAGACCAGCATAAATCTTACTGAGACATGCACATCCTTCATGAGAACAAGCCATGAAATACTGTTCGGTGTGGTACCCTACTGACTACATAAATAATACTAAATAGGGGGGTTACCTACAAGCTGAAGAGCAATTAAAACAGGATCTTTGTGACATCGGAGAAGATGAATATTGAGCACATCTTCAGAGCTAATAAGAAAATGCTGTCACAAACTTGTCACCTCAGCTAGCAATTTTTATTTTCCCCAACATTTTTTCTAGTCAAAACTTATCTTATAGAAAAATAAACATTAGCTCTCTTTCCACAAGTCAGGTTCATTAGTCGTTTGGTAGAAATGCCACATTTTTTCATCTCTTCAAGCCAGAACAAGATGGGATGTACTAATTTGGGACAACTGTGAAGGCTTCTTTTTCTTCTCTGTCCCTCATATTATGTACCATATCCTTTCCTATCCCTCTAGACAGAAAGTCTGTTTCATAGCTATTCCCAATCATTTCCAATTGCTAAAAACACTCACACACTTCCCAAGTGCCTGTACTTCTGGAGGAGCTGTGGCTGTAATATACCCAAAGCCACAGACCTCAAAGTAATCCTGTCACTGTGAGCACAGTTACTCGTATAAGCATAGAGCATAGGCAGGAGAGGAAGGGTGGCAGAAGGAAAACACTTCTCTCTGACATGCTGATGACCCAAGTCACCTACAGTAGACCCAGAGTGCACCTCTGGAACTGGCTGGGACTGTATAACAAGCTATATATATGAAATGTATTCTTGCCTCCTGAGGGGACCTGCCACCAGAACTACGTTCTCCATTGCTTGACCTCTTGGCACCTCTTCTGTCTCAGTGTGAGCTCTCTTACAGCAGCCAATTCAGCCGCCCTTCACCCATTCTCTGAATAGAAATGCTGGACTGCACTGTTACTAAAATGGGTATTCCCTAAATAAAGGATTCACATTCTTCCTCCTGGGAAACATATAACTGAAGTAATATCTTTCATTATTGTACAATCCCTATGTTTTAGGCAAATTACTTTAATCCACAACAAGGGCTTCAATCATATGCATGAAATCCCTCAGCCTGCAGATTCTCGCATGTGGCACAGTTTGTTTCATTTCTGTTGCTATTGTAACACTATTACTTAATCGCCTAACTATGTAAAACCCAACATATGCCTCTCATCTTTTTATATATCTTCAAACCCCTTTGACCTACTTCACAAACAACACTAAACAGCGCAGTAATCACACACACACAAAAAAAGCTTTATGCTGGCTTAATGCAGTACAACGAGCAGTGATCTCTTCTAGAGAAAAAGCAGTGAAGGTAACGAACCACACTCAACGCATCCTTCCACCCTCATTTTCTGGACTAAACACGTCACTCAAAACAAACAAAGCCAATTACGAAGAAATAACAGCCTTCAAAAAGAGAAGAAATTCTGTTTCAGAAGAGGAGGCCTTCACCTGTTCAGCACAAGCATCACTTCAGATAGACTCACTGCTGTGTAAAGCATCATCCTGGCACATGCAGAGGCAGGAATGAAGAAACAGAAGTTGAAGATGCTCAAACACTTTGAAGGTTGTTACACTGAGGACCATGTCTTCACTGTGCTCTCATGACCTTCCAGAGTATCATTTTCTGCAAATATGAGCAACTCCATATGTAATAAAAAACATCATACGATGGGTGAGCAATTGGCTAACGGGCAGGGCCCAAAGGGTTATGGTGAATGGCGGTGCGTCAGGCTGGCGGGTGGTCACTAGTGGGATCCCTCAAGGCTCCATTTTAGGGCCGGTACTTTTCAATATTTTTATAAATGATCTGGATGTAGGAATAGAAGGTATTTTGAGCAAGTTTGCCGATGACACCAAACTTGGAGGAGTTGTGGACTCGAATGAGGGTGGAAAGGCCTTGCAGAGGGATCTGGATAGGTTGGAGAGCTGGGCGATCGCCAACCGCATGAAGTTCAATAAGAGCAAGTGCCGGGTCCTGCACCTGGGACGGGGAAACCCTGGCTGCACGTACAGACTGGGCGATGAGACGCTGGAGACCAGCCTAGAAGAGAGGGATCTGGGGGTCGTGGTAGACAGCAAGTTCAATATGAGCCGGCAGTGTGCCCTGGCAGCCAGGAGGGCCAACCGTGTCCTGGGGTGCATCAAGCACGGCATCGCTAGTAGGTCGAGGGAGGTGATTGTCCCGCTCTACTCTGCGCTGGTGCGGCCTCACCTTGAGTACTGTGTGCAGTTCTGGGCACCACAGTATAAAAAGGACATGAAACTGTTGGAGAGTGTCCAGAGGAGGGCTACGAAGATGGTGAAAGGCCTGGAGGGGAAGACGTACGAGGAACGGCTGAGGGCACTGGGCCTGTTCAGCCTGGAGAAGAGGAGGCTGAGGGGAGACCTCATCGCAGTCTACAACTTCCTCGTAAGGGGGTGTCGAGAGGCAGGAGACCTTTTCTCCATTAACACTAGCGACAGGACCCGCGGGAACGGGGTTAAGCTGAAGCAGGGGAAGTTTAGGCTTGACATCAGGAGGAAGTTCTTCACAGAGAGAGTGGTTGCACACTGGAACAGGCTCCCCAGGGAAGTGGTCACTGCACCGAGCCTGACTGAATTTAAGAAGAGATTGGACTGTGCACTTAGTCACATGGTCTGAACTTTTGGGTAGACCTGTGCGGTGTCAAGAGTTGGACTTGATGATCCTTAAGGGTCCCTTCCAACTCAGGATATTCTATGATTCTATGATTCTATGAATAATTTTAAGTTTTAATTTGTCTGTATCATGAATTTAGAAATGGAAACCTTTCAGGTATTTTGGATAAAGAGTGCTATCTGATGTGAGGGACAACTATTTGATGTGAGGAAGAAGGATTTCTTTGGGACCAGAGGCTCTTTCCAAGGACAAGGAGTTGATAAATGCTGGAACTCAACTGCTTTCCGTCATTCCCTTTAACTGAACGAGTTATACATTTAGACCGTAAGAGCCGCTCATGAAGGTTGGAATTGCAGATATGATAAAGATATTCTTTATTCTAGTAAAATAAAACATACAACCATGGAAAGGCAGTCTGTACCTAGAACAAACTAAATCCAGTACTGGGGCAGGGAGACCTCTTCATTGTTTTTACCAGCTTAGCTGAGGGAAAAGCTGGAAGAGTAACTGTTACCAGGTACCACTTTTGATCTTAATCCTTAAGCCAGTTGTCATAGGGTCTGAAGAAGATGTAAGATGAGTTCTTCACCTGTGCTGTACCGAGCTGCAAGACTGTCAGCCTGTTTTGTGGGCAAGGAACTGTAAATGTTTTTACTCTGTTCTTCCCTGAGCTTTGAGAAGTATCCTGGAAGTTACTGGAATTCTTCTTCAATACAATTTAGAGTAAAACACTTTAAAGATGATACAGTACCATTTTTCATGGTTTGCTTAGTCCTTTCAAGTTTCAGGCTATAATAAAATCAGGAATTTCAGATGCAAAGTGGCTGGCCACTCCTGCATTGCTTAGCAGGCAACTGTGTATGAAACCATTTCAGATGGAAATAAATTTACCCAAAACTGTCAGCAAAACCCAAAAACATTAAGGAAGACAACTGTAGAGTAGGATCCCTCCTCCTATTTCACCTTGAGCCACCCATTCTATTCAAGGCAGATCCTCGAGGGCCATCAATACGCAGCAACAGTTGGGAAGAAGAACCAAGAGGATAAAAGACTCTGATACAAATACATGCTAGCCTCTCTCTATTTTGGGGAGTTCTGTACGCCCATCAGACTCTTGTAGTGTGTGCTGGACATAGGGCTCTACTTCACTGCAGCAGAAGAACAGAGACACCAACAGTAAAAAATGCAGAGCATCAGTCTATAAATAAACCTGAATCCCCTCCAGTTGGAATCAGTGAGTGGGAGCAGAAGAGAAATGAAGTAGGAATTTTTCACTCTTGGTAAACAAGCACTAGGTTTCCAGAGGTTAAACAAAGCATCATCCATCACACTGATATATGCACAGGTCCCACTGCAGTCAGATTCTGAATAACTAAGAAGTTGCTTCCTGAATCCCATATTTTCCACAAAATGTTTGCCTGACATTCACTTTCCTACATATCTATTGTTATGTTAGGGACAGTGATTGCTCGTGTAAGCTACCATTTCTTTCAGAATGGCTCAAGCTAAGTTCCTAATGAAATTCACTGCACCAGGTAGGGTACCATAAGATGGTCTAACCACCCATTTAGGGCTGGAGAGGGAGCACTTGAACAGACAGACCTGCAACTCAGTTTTGGCAATACTGAGCAGATCTCGTGAATACTTCAAACCACTTAGAGCACTTGTCAGCATCTGGACAAACTTTTTGTTGTTTAACAGATAGAAACAAATGCAGTAAGAAAGCAGAAACAGTGTACTTAAGGCATTTTAGAAGGTTTTCAAACAGCAGATGTTACTTTTCAAACATCCTATCTGCCATGTTACCAATTGCCTAATTCAGCAGAAAGAACAAGAGATGATGTAGCCACTCCAGGGCTACACATCCCAATTAGGGCAATTAGGCCAATCTTCAACAAATCTTGTTTGCAAGTCTCTTTAGCAGGGTTTTCTTGTTTGCAAGTCTCTTTAGCAGGGTTTTCTTGCCCAACATGAAGCTCAAACTAGTTCTCCCTCTGTTCCAAACACGGGGCCAAAC